AATTTAAAAGTAATAATTTTTATAAATTTCAAAACTCTTTTTTCTGTTGCTTAATGGAGAGTCAAAAATATTTTGATAATCAATTGGAAAGTCAAGAATATTTTGACAACCAATTGGAAAGTCAAGAATATTTTGACAACCAATTGGAAAGTCAAGATTATTTTGACAATCAATTGAAAAGTCAAGATTATTTTGATAGCCAATATAATGGTATAATTTTTTTTTCCTTCCCTTATTTCTCATTTCCCGTTTGTGCACCCCTTTTATTATCATATTACTTAACTTTATATTATTTTACACAGGAATCATTGAGGATATTCCTGAATCATTATGGAATTGCCCATCTGAAAGTCCTTCCAAGAGGAAGTTGAAAAAAGCAAAGAATAATGTATCAACTGACCAACACATTCCATTGCCTAATACTGTAAACTACTTTGTTTGTCAAATATGTGATACTCTTGGACATTTAGCTACAGTTTGCCCACACCAATATGCTGTAACTTGTCAACTATGTAACCGTGAGGGTCATATTGCAAAAATTTGCTTGAATCATTATCGATCACCATCTTTGTCAAATCCACCCAAAACCCTTGCTGAGTCCTCTAAAACTATTACAAAGATTTTTGGTAATGGTAGGCGTCTTACATTTGAAAAAAAGTATTGGGATGCTGTTGTTCAAAAATTACGATCCATCCAAGAACCATAATATAATTATTTTATTTATGTTCTTCAATTTTTTTTCCAATTTCTCTTGTTTTCTTGTAATTATCTTATATATTTTGACATTACAAGATTTATTAATGATTTCTAAGTATTTCTCACGCTAATTATTAAGAGTTTGCATGAAATTCCTTTACTTTGTGAACCACATAGTTTAAGAGTCCAATCTTACATAGTAGAGTCGACTGTAAAGGACTAAGAATCGACTTTCAACATAGAGAGTCAACTATTTGAAGGGAAAAAATATTGCACTTATTGGGATTTGGTATTCGACTCTCCACATCGTAGAGTCGATTCTTTTGATTTAAAGTCAACTCTATGATGAAGAGTCGACTATAGGCTGCAACAAATTAAATTCCAACATACTGGAATTTGGTAGTCGACTCTTCATATCATAGAGTCGACTCTGAATCCAAAAGAGTTCACTCTATGATGGAGAGTCGACTATAGGCTGCAGCAAATTAAATTCCAGCATACTGGAATTTGGTAGTCGACTCTTCATATTATAGAGTCGACTCTGAATCCAAAAGAGTCGACTCTATAATGGAGAGTCAACTATAGGCTGTAGCAAATGCAGTTGTTGCTTATTGGAATATGAGAGTCGACTCTTGCTGCTTGATTGTCGACTCTCATATGCCTGAAGAGTCGAATATAGGCCTATATTCGACTCTTCAGTCCATTTCTGTTGTTTTCCAGAATTTGCTGTTATCGTTTCCTTTTTTTTTCTTTTCAGGAACATCAACTATGTAAAAAATACTAATGAATCATTAAAACCACATGCACATCAAACTTTAAAACCACAACCACAAATTGCCATTCAAGCACACTATGGACTACCAACTTGCTTGCCATCAATGGAAGCACATCAAAAACATAATCAACCAATACAAATCATCACAATTGTGCTATGCTCATTGATGTTAAAAACTGCATTAAATTAAACTGCATCTAATGTCAACATTATATGTACATATTCAAAAATATAAAAAGTCAAAACATTAAGAAAACCTTTCAAAGAGTGTTCAAACACTAAAACGATAATTTAACAGCCATCAACAATTGCAACGGGAGGATTTATGCTTTTGGATGTGAAAAGGGATCAGTGGGTTGCTGTCCGGAGGATGTGCCAGCAGTAGACGGATCTCCTCTTGTCCCTCGAGGACCTATAGGTGTTGCCATCTGACAATTGCAAATGTGATCATCGAGCTTCAATTCAATCCGTGCAAGTCTCTTGAGAATGAGCTGCATTCCTCTCTGTGTGGTTAATCTCTAAGGAACTTGAGATGAAGTAGCTTGTAAGGGACCTGCTTCTTCAGTTTCTTTGGCATGTCCTTCATCATCAAACCCCTCACCCTCATCATCTTGTCCTCTTCTTCTCCTTTTCTGGTTCATTTCCCAAGAATTTGTTCTTGCACTGAATACATACCCCATTTTGTTCAGTGAACTCTCATTCAGAAGCTCCTGACTGTGTAGGTCTCGGGACTCTATACCACGCAAATCAACACCCGCATTTTCCATAAGTAAGGTGATGAGAGTGCCATACACTAGTGCGAGTGTCGATCTACCCTTATAATACACCATTTGTCTCATAATATGATGTCCTAAATTGATCCGCCTCTGATCAAGAATATATGCAAACCACACACAATCCGGACCACTAAATTTCCCAAAAGAACCTTGCCTTGGCAAAATTATGTGATTGTAAATCCAAAACATTAACCAATTCTCCAAATTCAAGTGGTGAATGGTTAATGTTTATCCCTCATTGTACACATGCCCCATGATAAATTTCTTTCCCGATTCCTCTGTAAATGCGTTCAATTCGATGGCTCCCTCATTTGGCAAATGTAAAACATCATTTATGGTTTCAGCATCAAATTCAAAAGTTTTCTTAAGAACTGTTGTTCTATACCCTCCATCCTCCGAATCACTCAAATTTGCATAAAAAATATTTATCAATTGCTGGTAAACCTTCACCTTTCTACTTACTAATTCAGTCCACCCCATTGCATCTAACATTTCTCTTATATGTAGCCCCCCTTTGCATAAATCATCCAAAACTACTCTAAAACCATAAATGACTTTCCTATTTCCTAATTTATTATATGCTTCTATAGCATTTCGAGATACAAAGCTTCGAGGGTTATCAGGTTGAAATACCTGCTTGGTGTCTGTGCTTTCACCGCTCTCCTCAAGACTTTGCTCAGCCTTGCGATGCCTTCCAGACGTGCTTGCCGCCTGCCCCCTTACTTTCTTTACAACTCTTTTAGTCCTCACCATTTTGGGAGATAATGCACGAATCTTAGAGGAATGGGCCGAAAATGGTGTGGGTTTGTATTTGGGTGAGTTATTTTGGTGAAATTTGGGAGGATTTTGGCTGGTTTGAGTGTTAGGTTTCTCAAAGAGTCGAATAGGAGAGAGAGGGAAAATGGGGAAAACTGGAACTGCCGCGGTTTTAATCAAATCCCATGCCAAAGAGTCGACTCTATAACTTGAGAGTCGACTCTTCTAAGCAAAACAATTGACTCTAGAAAATAATAATCGACTTTGAATGGAGAGGTGTTTATTTCCCTGCAGCCATAAGAGTCGACTCTTTGTCAAAGAGTCAACTCTATTCTGCACCAAAATGTTTCGTTGCTCTCTGGAATTTGGGAGTCAACTCTTTGTATTATAGGGTTGACTTTGTTCTGCACCAAAATGTTTCGCTACTCTCTGGAATTTGGGAGTGGACTCTTTGTATTATAGAGTCGACTCTAGTGCCTATAAGAGTCGAATTTACATTCATAGATTCGACTCTTTATTGGAATTCATAATAATTTTAAATTTTTCATTTAAACAGTCGAATATATAACTCCGTGTATGATCCTATAATTATATTTATTACCTTTATAATATCACATAAATACTCCTTATTATTACATAAATTCCCCTCTTACCCAGTGTATTGTAGCAAATAACTTCTCCATCTCCTCCATTATTCCAGCAACCCTTCTCCTCCATTATCTCCCTCTCCTCCATTATTACAGTAACTATGCTCCTCCATTATTACAGTAACTGTTCTCCATTATCTCCCTCTCCTCCAACCGTTTTCTCCCTTTTTCCTTTTATTTTTTCAATTTTTTTTTTGTGTGTACTTCCCCTGCTGAGATTCTTTCTACCCTCTCCTCTCATCTTTTGCTTTGGGTTCATGTTTGGGAACCCAGATCTGAGTTTGTGTTAGTGAACCAAACTCTGGGTTCATGAACACAAACCCAGATTTGGGTTTGTGTTCATGAACCCAAATAACTTGCTTCACCTTAATGCATTTCTGGGTTTGTGTTCATGAAACTTCCCTTCTCTTCTTCCTCAAACTAGCCCCTTTCCTCCATCTTACAGGTTGTTTAGAATTTGAAATGAAAAGGGAAAAGAACATTCAATTTGAAATATGGTACCATAACAGGAAGTGAGGATTGAGGTGAATAATTCAGATTTTTTTATGGGTAAATTTTACTTGAATTCTTGTAAAATATGAAATGGACTATGAAAATTTTGTTTCATTTTGTGTTTGGATGATGAGAAAATTTTTTGTGTTTGGGTATTGAGAAACGTTGTTAAGGAAATTTTTATTTATTTAATTGCAAGGTAATTTTTAATAATGAGATGTATATAATAAGTAGATATAAATAATTAAACTTTAATTGAAATTAATTGCAAGATCATTGATTTATTTCAAATTTAATTTATGAATTAAATGGTATTAAATATAATTATAGTAGGTGAACATTATAATTAAATATATTAATAGATTTATTATTTGATAACTTTTTTTTTATTTTATGGTATGAATTGTAATTATAT